CGTGCAAATAAGCAAGGAAAAATGATGATACTGAGAGAAAATGGAAAAAGTTTCAATACTATATGTCATTGTTATTAGTAACCTGCCATCGACATCTTTTATCCCTTGTGGTTAAAGGGCAATCAGTTAAAAGAACTACCACCAAACATTTCTGATAAACTGACTCGGCTGCAGAAATTGTGGGTAGCACTCTTTGCCTCTACGAATAATGCGCTTATTCACAAGGCTGGATAAAATCAGAAACAGGGGCAATTCTAAATCTTTCCTTGATTGCAAACGAAACATTTTCTAAAGTTCGTATCAGATATAACTAATATATAACAATTTTTGATAACGATTTGGCTTGGTATTCGCTGACCTTGCATTGTTTCCGAGCTAAACTGCTGGATTATTTTGACACGATTATATGAGACATCGATAATGAATGTTTGGTTTTGGCAACTACTGTTTAAGAAATGATCGCAATCATCGATTCATCTCTTATCGGGATTATTACGAACCAACATGACGACCAGCTTCCAGTTAGCTTGTTTACCAATAATTGTAAGCCAGTTGATAAACATTTTATCATTATGCAACATATGAAAGCTAAAATCAACGAATATTTACGCGTGACCTTGTGGTCTTATCGTTATTATGGCTAATGTTTGGCGCGTTGGACCTGGGATAGAAAGGTGCAGGTTTGAGTTCTGGCAAAGACTCTCTTCTATTCTGCCTGGGAGCTGGATGTAAATTTCTTTATTTTAAAGATCATCGACATGATCAGATGGAAATTGAAGAATTTAAGGTGAACGCTGAGCTCAGCCAAATAAGAGATAGTTACGTCTGAGTCACAACTGTATACTCTAGTCCTGATCAGTTATGTTTTGTCCAACATCATGTTGGAGGAGCATGTACAACCACATACACTTGAAATGCCTCCCTCAACATTGTGTTTGATGGATTCTTAGGTTTGCTCTAAATCCAACATATTTATTCAACATTCTCCTTCTTCATGGGCAACATTTTTGATGGCAATTGTGCATATAATTGTGCAGAATGTTTGGGGAGCACGAGAGAAGCGTTGCTCGAGGGGCAAAGGTCTTCCCTTGGGCGGCTACAACACTGGTATTTTTATGGAGAGTAATACCGATTTGGAAGACCCGGATGATTTAGTTTTTTTTTTTTTAACTCGCATGACCAACTGTTTGTAGTATTTTGTTAGAAGGAACTGGCAGCTAAACTGACGGTAAAGATGCAGTCTGTTACAACTCACACGTCATTTATTTACGTATAGTTGTGCGTATAGTTAACAGCAAGTCCACGATCGTGCGTTAAATATAGATCGCTTTCAGTCACGTGATCTCATTTTAATTGGCCGTCATATTGGTGCACATCACTGGCCTGTAAACATATGACCAGAAGTTTTGTTTATGATAAAAAATGCTTTAATGTGCAATTTTTAGCTGTGGGACCCGAAGTGGTCGTGATAAAGGAATTAATATGGCAAGAATGCCTTCAATTATTACTAGTCGACGAGAAGAAGTACGGAAACTTTCCACGGCAGGGTCTGTGGTAAACATTTTATCTCCGGAAAAGCGGCTAAACTGTGGGATCGTTACGATCCAGATTTGCTTTCGACCCAAAATCCAGGTCAACAGTAATGTGTTTCTTTCGAAAAGCTTCAAGGCTATATTGAAGTTGCCGCCAAGCGAGACGAGAGAGCCAGAGGTCGTGAGCTGAAACGTGTCGCAGGAGAACGTGAAAGGCAGCTACGGGAAGAAATCGAGTCCAAAAAACAAATAATTGATGAACCAGGAGTAAAGGTTATCGACATTTCCTTCGAGGTCGAATCAGCAGGGGGCACCAAGCTCAGCAACACAGGCTTTGTTTTGCATTTGCTGAGGTCAAACTTTCTATTTCCATTTGCGTCGGCGCTGGCACCTCCGGTTTTTGAATGCAACTTCCAGAGAAGACTTCCGAGTTCTCAGAAACCTGAAGTCCCTCATTGAGATTCTCTATCGTTTCATCAAGGTCAGCTTTCATTTTCTTAGCGGATTTAAAGTTAATATCGCGGACACGAGACTATTCCACCTTGTTTGCGGTACTGGGAAGTACCAAAGGGCACTTAAGTTTGGCAGAAACGTGTCGGAGACTTGACGTATTAAACAGGGCGCAAATACACTGAGTAGAGTTTGTGCAATGTATCCTGGTCGAACGGATGGCAAAAAAGACATTAATACTGTTGTCTTTCGATAACTCAAACCTGTGAGTTAAGGAACTGGTTAACTGGCTGGAAGACAGGTTTAGGCATGAATGGATACTGCAGGTACGTTCTTGGGTAGCCAAGGATTACTGGATACTAGGACAAAGGTGGGTATGGGTGTAGCTGGAACTGCTGTACAGGTGGAGCACAGGTTTAGGCATGGATGGATACTGCAGGTACGTTCCCGGGTATCCAAGGATTACTGGATACTGGGAAAAATGTGGTTATGAGGGTAGCTGGAACTGCTGTACAGTTGGTAAACCTGTTCTCCAATGAAGATGAGGAGTACCGCACTGAGGTAATTGACTTCCAGAAACACTGTTGGCGGCTATGACGTGTACAGCAGCTTGGGTCTCATATGTGGGATTGCCAAGTGTGTTGTACGTCAGAACTGTTGGTGGATGTCGTTGTCGTTTAGGCCTAGGTTCCAGTTCGGGACTGTCTGGTGGGCTGTTGTTATCCTGGGTTAGAGTATCTTGTCCATTTCCGCTCTCTGATCCGGTTTCTTCCGTCTCCTCCAAAACAGTGCGATCGCCGATTACTTTCCCTTGATGGGCGTTGCCCAATATTGCATCCTCTGACTGTGTCAGTTTAGGCTGTTTCTCTTCAACTGAAGGTTTGGCGAGCTCCTCAGTAACCGCTTCTTTTAAGGTCTGCCCAGTGTGGGGGTTCCTTGGGGCGATTGTATACTCATCATTACTACAGGTATCATCTGCCAAGTCTTCGGCCTGTGGTACAGGTATCTGACTAGCAGTGCTACGCTTATCCTTCCGGACTTTTCTTTCTCTCTTCTGGCTAGTTTCGTTTGGGATGTTAATGAGAAGATTATTGCATGGAAATAGCAAGTTCCCATGTAGGGTTCTGTTCCCCCCAGTGCCAGCTTCGGGCTTGACTTCATACACAGGGCTATCTTCTCCCTTACGGCTAATGACTATGTGAATCTGATCCTCCCAATGCGAGCGCAGCTTCCCCGGTCTACCCCGTTCTCTGAGATTGCGTACAAGAACTCTATCACCAGGCAGGTCATAACGTTGTTTAGCTCGTGTGCCTGCTTCACTGGACGTCTTTCCTGCTAATTTGTATGCCTCTGTCTTTGCTTTTCGCCACTTTTCGGCATATTATGAGTGGTTCACGAGGTTGGTTTCATCTTCGGTTCTAAAAATTAAGTCTACCGGTAAACAGGGGTGGCAACCGAAGGGGAGGAAGAACTGTGAGTAGCCAGTTGATTCGTGTTTCGTGCAGTTATAAGCGTGTACCACATGGTTCAAGTGTTCTGCCCAACGTGATTTCTGGGTCTCTGGCAAGGTACGGAGCATTCACAAAAGTGTCCGGTTGAAGCGCTGAACTTGACCGTTCCCTTGGAGGTGATGTGGGGTAGTATGAGAATGTTCCACGCCGCATAGCTCGAACTCCCGATGGAGGCAATTTTCAAATTCTCCCCCTTGATCATATATCAAAAAATATAGACCGCAAAACATATTTAGTTAGCTTTGTAGATTCGAGAGTATTCTCTCGCGCAACATACATGCCTAATATTATTCATGCCAACTAATTGGCAATTTTTACCGAGGACTTTTTTAAAATATTTTACGAATTTGCATTTGGCGAGTTTTATAGCACCCATCGCCATCTTTCTCTCTTAGTGACACAATGATTCGTAAACAAATTACTCGTAAAGAAATTACCGTGCAGGATGTTTCTTTAGTATTTCCTGCAACAGTCACTTTCTACGCGGGTTTTTTTTTATAATTTAAATGGATATTTGGACATCGTATTACAAAGACAGGAAAGTTAAAATGAGGATTCAAATTTAGGATGGTAGAAGCTTATTTCCACATAAATTATCTGCAGGTGGTTATACGCCAACAAACTGCAAAGCCTTCCTTCTACGATATTTGGTAACCTTACCTCCCTGAGACAGCTGTAAGTACCTATAACTCGCAATTTTCAGTTGAAAACTTTTTCATCAATGCTAACGTTCTCATTCAAACGTCTCATAAAGATCTAAATGATCTCTGCTTACCAAGAATATGATAACACGTTTTTCCCTGAAATGAATTCTAAAGGTCAGAGAACTGATATATCCGAACTAATTTTTCAATTCTTAACTGTGCACCTTAAAACTTAATCATTTAAGGTATGGGGTAACTGTTTAAAAAAATATTTTACAGGTCCTTGTCCGTTAACCAACTCAGTCAACTACCACCGATTATTTTCAAGGAAAATAAAAACCTAGAGTGGCTGTAAGTAGAAAACGACTTACTCTTCATAGTTACTGAAGCTGTACTCAACAGCGATCGATATATTAGACCGGAGGTGAAAATAATAAAAGGTGCTAGATTCAGACAATCATTCCCTATAAATTTCCTATATTTTTTCCTCTCTTCTAAGTAAGGAAAAGTGCGTCAGTCAGTGATTGAACGACTAAAGCTGAGTTCACTCGATTTACAGGGAACTTATTTTCCTCTAGATATCCCGGCAAAGAAGTTGCAATTTTTTCGTGATTTACATTGAACTGTTTATTTCCCTCTTGATTACTTCCAGCTAGTTTCACGTTGGGTTAGTTAGCAGTTAGCGCTGATAGTCCTTGCGGCCCTGCGACCTTTTAATTAAAAACATAACACAAAAATCCCCATATAAGGGCTGTAGCGACCACTTGAGTAAGGCCAAAAAGCCGTGCGGCACCGGGAGGTGCGAATGCAGAAGAAATCAAGAGAAAGAAAGAGTGAAGGTCTTACGTGCGTCGCCTACAGATATGTACGCTAAAGTCAGAGACAAGGACAAGCCAGAAAACAGACAGGGAGCTTTTATAAGATCAACTGCTCATACTGCAAATATCCTTTATCGGAAAAACTTCAAAAACAACCGCATGACTGGACACAAACGAGAGGCAATAATAGGTGACGTCAGAATTCACATCGCTGAACATTATTCACTCTATGAAGACACTATCAACTGGGACTCTACGTAATTCCTGACCTACAGCTCCAACTACTTACGACGACAGATTCTGGCCAGCAAATTTTCTACCTTAGAACAGACTTCCCTCAACAGATGCCTAAAACTGCCAATATCATACAAACGTCTTATTCACGGTATTTGCAGACAAATAGAACCGAAGAGAACGACCTTTAACGACGGATCGAAGCCGACCAACTACGACCGACTAACGGGTACTCGATTCTTGCAGACAATAACACCATGGGAAAACTGACCAATCAGTATGCACGAACCGGACTATAAACAGCTCGACTGACAACAACTCTTCACTAGTCTCTAATGAAGACTTCTGCTGAGGTTGTGCAAGCGTCATTCACCACCTCCCTCACCCGGACGATCAGAGTACATAATCAAATGTTACTCACAGGTTTAAGACATTTATGGTACCATTATTTTTGTTTTCTGTTTTATTTCTATGAACAATGCAGAGAGTTGTCCGACAACAATCTCAACGAATTAACTGATAACCTGTTTCGAGGAATGAAGAATCTAACAAGGCTGTAAGTGAGACCTTTTTAAGATTCTAATAACGTTATGATTAAAGGAACTTTCTGGAATGGGATTTAAACTTGTAAAAGCAAATCCTGACGACAGACGTTAACAATTTTTCACTGCAGGGCAAGAAGACTAATAGGGAAATTACAAATTATGACAAGCCAACTTGCAAAGGCTGTTCTATGATCAGACTTTTATACTTCTCATTGATCATTCCAAATGATGGTAAAGGCTGCAAACCAGCTCGTTAAATCATCTATAACCTTTACCGAATTTTTTTGGAGTCTTTCTGTTGTTATCCTCTATCAGTCCATTCTTAACCTTTATCTAGATTGTTTTCCCTATTTTTATACTGTCTTTTTGCATATCTCTCCCTCCGTTTTCCCCGCTTCTCGTTTCAGTGTGTTTATCTGTCTGGATATCCATTGATTCTCTTGCCACTCTTATAGGTGGTTGCGTAACAACAAACTGAAGAAGCTAACCCCAGAACTGTTCACAGAGTTAATCAGTTTGGATGACCTGTGAGTGAATGCGTTGAAGATTAAATCTAAAAGCCCTTTGAAAGCCCACCTGAAGAGTCGTAATTTGTCAAGTTAGACTGACTGAAAAGGGAGAGGGGAAATAAAATTGTTATTCTTAAATAACACCATGAACAAATATGAACACTGCAAATATTGTGATATCGCCATTTTGACTTAAGAGAAAAGCTTAGTTTTTCGATTTTTTTTCCTAACAATTTGGACGAAATAATGATGAAATACGAATTAAAGCAAACCAGTCAATACTCAGATGTTAGGAAACTATCAATCAATTTAATGCAGCGAAGAGGGGGGGTGAGCGTGAGCCTCTGGAGCCCTCCCCCCTCTACCTCTCCAAACCCTGTTGCAAATGTAAAAGAGCCCAGTGTCCAGTTTGAATATCGTTAACAACTTAGTTACTAACAGTAACTTTGGAGGCTGGCAGGTCAAGTTTCGTTACCTTCTTAGCCATAACTAGCATAGGTTTTCTTTTTGCCTCTTAACTTATCAATTCTTAAACGTATCCAGGTCAAAGCAATGACCCTGGTATAAAAAGTAATATAAAGCCTTCCAATTTATTTAATTTAGAAAAAGCCAAGAATTACTTGCTTTGTGACACAAGAGCTGCTGACTGCTCTCACTGTTATAACATCAAAAAAGCCGTTTTGTGTTTCTCCTTCACAGCCGTTTATTAGTCTCGTCACACAACAAGCATTGTGCCTCTGGGTGGTGATGGGAAGGGGAGGGGGAAGACTTGTTTGCGATGCGAGATCAAACAGCGGCTGTGGAGGAGAATATTAAGGGTTGAGGCGAAGACTTATAGCTTGATTTTGATACGCTTTATAAATATAGAATGTGAGTAGTTAATAACTACCTGAAAAATATAAAACCACATGTTGGAGGCGGCTGAAAAGTAATGCTAACGTCTGCTTTCTAGCTTGGCCTCGAAAGTAATCAGTCTTTCCCATTAAAAAAAGAACACTTGGTTTCACCATTCCTCGGGCTAAGCAGGATCTGTTTCTGTTGCGATTCATGAAATAAACGATTGCTTTCAGGGATCTGTCAAACAACGAAATTAAAAATCTGCCCCAAGGACTTTTCAAAGGTCTAAAGAAGCTTAAACAGCTGTAAGTGATGAATTAAATCTAAGATTTTTCAGTTTTCTCAAATATAAAACCCGGAAGTGTTAGATCTTAATTAATGATTTTAACGTCACTCACCTTTCCAACCAACAATTTTCTAAATAAGCTACAAGGCAAGCGCTTTCATTAACAGGGGGACCAGGATTGGAAAGAAAAAAAGATAATTAAAGCAAATGTTCAAAAATATAAATTTCAACAAAGAGCATGCAAGAAGAATAAAGATTTGCTGCTGTTATTAGATACTACCTAAGTTCTAATGAATGTATATGAAACCTTGAGTTCATCAAGATTTAAAGATTAGGAGGAGCAAATTGATGAAGAAAACTGTTAAAAAAGAACAAATCAAATATAAAGTAGCTTCTTATGCACAAAATGTTGATACAAAAGTTCTAAATTTACCATTTAGTTTAGTGATTTCTTTGTTCATTCATTCATTTAGCTGTTGCTCTCTCACTTTCTTATTTATTTATTTATTAGGTCATTTATTCATCCTGTCACTTACTTAGTTCAAATACAACCTTTCTGATAAAAACAAATACCGTCTGTAACTATCTTTTTGTAAAGGATGAGTAGAGGTTTTTGTTGTCGATTAAGGTGACTCCTCAAAGAAAAAAAGTTACCGAGCATACTGGTAATTTTTTCTAAAACTTTCCTTAAACGTTCCTTACCAATGTCTCTTTCGAAATTACAATAAAAGGGATAGGTCACCGTGCTTGTTTTGGAGATATGATAAACCAAACTTACCCCACTTATGCGTGTACTGGTACTAATTACGCGCGTCATTTCACCGATTAACGGTACATTTTGCTGCACTGGGTTTTTAAAGTAACACATGTGAAAAAAACTTGATAGATATAAAGTCTCCAGTGCATGGAACAATTTGATCACGTAAATTTAAACGACATGTTCCTCGAGTCGTTCCTTTCAAGGTTATAATTTACATCCTCGAGTAACGAGCTTCGTGCATGCTTTTGGCCTTATCTTTTTTTTCCTTCAAAAAATTTGAACCAAAATTATACAAAAAAAGAAATATATATATATGTATAGGCCGCCGTGCTCGTTCAAGAGCTAAAGACCATCGTACCTCTTTTCCTGATCCATAGATCCATCTATGTGAGCGTTCAGTCCTCTGATTACGTGATTTTTATGCGCAATACAGGATGCGCGGTGCAAAACTTGGGAATTACCTCAAGCAAAGTGTTAAAGCAGATTTAAGCAATCATATTTGATTGGAAGAAGCAAGTATCGGAAGTAGCTATGTAATTAATAAGCAACAGGTTAGTTCTCAATCCTCCTGAAACGGTTGATAGCAAAACAAGACTTAACTTTCAACTTGGTATCTAGTTTTTTTAACGCCATCCCTGTTTTCCATAGGATTTTGTCCGGTAATCAACTCGAGGAACTACCCGGAAATATTTTTGCCAACCTCACCAAGCTGTTAAATATGTAAGTCATCAAGCACTACACCCAATGTCCCATGAATAGTGTTTTTCGCCGAGCTTCATATTACGCCTGGTGGTATAACGTCACAAAATGTATTTTTGAGGGAGATATACTATGCTTCACAGTGCTCCAAAGCTTTCTTCGTCGCTTTTTTATTGAGTTATTATATGCCACAGAAAACTGGACAAGAACAAGCTTAAGAGCCTCCCCAGGGATTTGCTTCGTACTCTGGTCAACTTAACCGGGCTGTAAGTTTTTTGATTGGGTTCAAAGATATCACTTACTTTATTAATGACATACTGTAATCCGCGAGAGCATTATCGAACCTAAAGAAGTCCTTAAATTTAAAAATATGCATAATAAAACTATTCCCTGGATTTAGTTTCTACGTGAAAGTGACCCAAATTTTAATCTCGCTATCCAGCTCAACTTATTCTAATGGTTCTTTATTATATGACTTTTATAATAAAGTTAGGATATTACGGGCGCTGTCTTTAATTGAAAAAACGTGTTTTATCAGAGTACAAAACACGGAGCTGAGCTAAAGCTGTCACGTTATCTGCCAATGTTTACTATGTCCGACCATTTCCCAGACTTCTCTCTGGCTTTTTTTCCCTAATTGAAAATGAAATCTTGGAAAAAGCGAGCCGGCAAGAAGCAACTGAAGAACCTAACAAAGTTTTGGAAACATGCCAAGCGCCGTAATTGAATTATTAAAAAAACGTGAGCAGAGAAGAAAATCCTCAAAGAGAAAACGAAATGGACAGTCCGAGTTTAGAAGGTTTTCACTCTCAGTGAGATTGTGAGCTTTCTTACGGTAATAAAAATCAAACATAGATAACACTCGTATAGCATATATAGTTTCGTGTTCAAAAACAGAATATAACCAAGCAGGAATGATGAAAAACATAACCAAACTGGCATAACTGTTAAAATTCATGTAAATCATGACGGTGTCTGCGATCATAATGAGGTCAATCGCGGCTAACTGTCAATTCGGCTGTCGTTCGTTCGTAAACATACGAATTGAGCAGTTTGTTCTGTAATTGTCATGTGAAAAAAAATCTGCGTTTTTTTATGAGCCACAATTAGATTGGATTTCAATGCACATTTCACTTTAAGATTTTGTTATAAGACTGAAAACTACAGGCAACAGTGGTAAATTTGACCTGCCGAACGTACTATTTCTTTGTTCGCTTCGAAAACTAAAATTTGTTTTGAAAATAGTCCGTAATGCGTGGGAAATTTGACGGATTCTTTATTATAAAAAATTAAAGAAAACTCCATCAAGGGTGTGGCACATCTGAATTGCTCCCATTTGTACTAAACAATATCGTTGGAATATGTTACTTTGAAAACAATCTAAGCTAAGAGATAATGCGGGTGAAAAACTGATCGAGAAGACGGGGAGTTGTCTGTTACACTACCATCAGCTGACTCTAAATCCACAATGTTTGGCTCAGTAGCTCGATGTAGCAGGGTTTACTTTGAATAATCGTTGTAATCCGCAAGTTTCGTGTCTGTTCATGTTCTGTTATCATCACTTTGTAGCTACCATTTAGTTTCCTTGTCAATACACGTGTTTACATCTCGTACTCGTGGTGCAAAGTCATGCCTCTAACAAATAAACATTTATTCGTTTGCCTAGCCAGTCCAATAAACAAATTTTGGGTATTTATCTAAACCATAATTTACATTTAAGGTATCTGTCCGAAAATAAAATCGAGAATTTACCCAAAGGAATTTTCAGCGGAACGAGAAAACTTCAGGTTCTGTAAGTACAACATTCGCAAAAATCACCCGATGGATTTTTCTTTTTTTGTATGCTCAGGAAGCACTCCATATCATCCGATGCCATACGATGCCATATCATACTATGACATTACAGACCACACCACATGTAGATTACTGAGGACCACATAAACCATCTCATGGCCACATTTTTCCCCATTGAATCACAGCACATCATATCATTCTAAAACCTTCAATACTGCTCAAACTTAATAATTTCTGAAACCCTTAACGAAAGACATACCTTACTATCTCATACCGCACCACACGTCATCATAAAAAAAAAGAACACCACAACACATCACATCACATTTTGCCATGTCATACCACACCCCAGCACACCATATCATGAGAAGGAACACCGCAATACATCACATCACACTTTAACATGTCATACCACACCCCAGCACACCATATCCTGAGAAGGAACACCGTAACACATCATAACAACGAACACCGCAGCACATCATATCACACTTTTCCATGTCATACAACACCAAAGCACACTGTATCATCAAAAAGAACACCATAGCACATCACATCACACTTTACCATGTCGTACCGCGCCACAGCACACCTCAACATTCTCGTCATACCACGCAAAACCACTCTTTACTAATTCACACTATAACAAATGATCCACAACACATCACGCCACACAGGACTTTCCCGTGAGCAATTGTCCTAGCCTCGTATTACGGTGGATATTAAAGTTGTGATTTTTTACTTCCTAACGCAGACTTTTTTTTTCTCCGCAGCACTATTTCTGATAACAAGATTCCCAGTGTCACCAACGAAAACTTTAATGACCTTCCAAAATTGGTTATTTTGTGAGTTTATAGCCACTGATTAAATTTATCATTAGACCACCACATCATATCTTAGAGCCCACTGGATCTTACTGGGCTTACTAAAAATGAAAATTGGTTTATAACAATGACGTCCTGTAAAGAAAAACATTTCTAAATTGAAAATCATGAAATAAGAACATGGTGTTCTAGCGTTAGCTTTATATTTTTTGCATCAAAAATACAGAGAAACCGTAATTACTCTGTTTTCAGTTGTTGTTGTTGTCGATTCACCTACAAGAAGATCCTGAAAATACTTTTTTAACCCTTTAACTCCAACGAGTGACTAAGAAAGCATTTCCCCCTACAATATTAATACAATACCAAACAGAAAAGTGATGAGAATAGGGAAAACATCAATAAGGGGATTATTTGTTGATCCAACACCAAGTTCTCCAAACTGACAATATAAGGACTGAATGGAAGGCAGAATGATTAATGTGATCTTGAGAATGAAAGATTTAACGACTAAACTGCTTGAATTCCAGGGAATATTATCCTGCTGCAGTTAATATGTCGATGGTACAACAGTACAGTAAAAATACTTAACTGGCTTATTTTTGAGAAAAGATTACAGGTATTCATTGCAAGCACAGTGCGAGAGGCGCCTTCAAAGAAATCGGGATCGCCAGTTTACACAAACCTTAGGGTTTGTTCCGAGATTGACCCTGGTTAGCAATTAGACTGGAATCCGGAGACGTTGGGCTATAAAAAAGGATGAGTCTTTACGGCGTTTAAACATAATTTAAACACGCTACCAGGGGGCACACGTTTTGACATCACGGTGTAGTTTCAATTTCTTATCCATACCTATTTATCGATGATAGCCTTTTCTTATTTTTAGGAATATGCAAAAAAACGAAATGTCTGAGCTTCCTAACGGGTTTTTCGATGGAATGAAGGACATCATGAAAGTGTAAGGTTTTTTCAGTGGTCAGTGAAACGTACAATATCATATTATATTATGTTTCAAGTTTCCTGCAATACCGACTACCGACAATAGCTGGTTTATGTCGGTTTAACCTACTGACAACTTGTAGTTATACAGAGATTGTTGTTGAAGTTACAGTCTTTTGCAAGTATATGGTTTCCTTTTTCCTTTTTTGAAGCCCCGTATAATCACAGCCTACCTCACTTAGCTTCAAAATCAGTGGAAAGCTTGATGCCTCAAAGACCGTTCGATTCACTATCCTTAGATTGAGCCAACAGCGACCTGGAAAATAAGTTATACCCCATATTTTGATCATGACCTTTCAGTGTGAGTGACAACATATCTTCTGCGTTTTTATCCTCACTGTATTTGCCCTCTACATTGTGGATTATAGGATAGTGGACACCAGTCTTATGTGTTGTCATCTGACAAAAGAAGACGCCCAATGCACTGCTCTATACGACGACAGCTTCGCTAGTTGCGAGAGCATGTTCCGCGACTCAGCTCCACGTAAAAGTATTTGGGCAATCGGAATCCTCTCTTTGCTTGGTGCTGTGTTCGTAGTTGTGTGGCGTCTAATCTTTAAAGAGAGAAACGTAGTCCAGCTTATCATGTTAATGCACTTAGCGGTTGGGGATTGCTTGATGGGCATTTACTTGGTCACCTTAGGTGCCAAAGACCTGTTATGGTCGGGAAGTTACTATCTGCATGACTTCCAGTGGCGATCCGGTTTGTCGTGTCAGGTTATAGGTGCGATCTCAGTGCTGTCCAGTGAGGTGTCTGTAATGATACTGGCGCTCATTTCCGCTGACAGGCTGAAGAACATCGTTTTCCCATACCATGGCAGAGGACTGACTCGCAGGAAAGCACACATTCTGTGCGCGATTATTTGGGTCCTTGGTTTTGTCATCGCATTCCTTCCCCTCACTGGCATTGGCTTTTTTTATGACGCCCTAGAGCGCCCTGCCTACTACGGACGTTCCGTAGTGTGCCTCCCACTGCAACTGTCCAACAGGTTTCCAGCTGGTTGGGAGTTCTCCATCGCTATCTTTGTCGGGTTAAACTTCCTCCTCTTCCTGTTCATGACGGTGGCCTATGTCGCAATTTTCCTTAAAAGTTATCGCTCCAGCCGTCAGCTTGCAAGGGAGGGAACCCGACGAGAGGTGCAGGCAAGAAAGAAGAACGCAAGTTCCAGAAGGGAGAGAGCATTGGCCAAAAGAGTCTTCTTTATCATCCTCACAGATTGCGCTTGTTGGATGCCGATAATAGTCATGGGCATCAGGTCTTTGGTTGAAAAAGATTACAGTCCCCGAGGAGATCTTCCTGCCTGGATCGCCGTGTTTGTGCTGCCAATTAACTCAGCCTTGAATCCAATTATCTACACCCTATCAACCCCTCAGGTATGTCAGGGACGTAAATTAGTAAAGTGCAATCGACGTATTGCTCCACCGTGTTTATGCGTTAATTACGTATTCTCGCGGAACGCTTAAAAGTGGTAATGAAAGATATACTTCGTAGGCTTCCTAGGAAAAAACTTTATCGTGGAATTATCGTCCAATGGGAGAATTTGTTCATAAAAGAAAGAAGTGGGTAGCTTATCAAATGTTGCGATTGCAAATGACATTGAATTTCAAAATGATTTGTTTCACACAAAAATCTCCCGCTCCTTGAAAAATATTATTACAAATATCTGCACATGAAATTTCTGAAAGCTACTTGAACAATTTCTCATAGTTCATGTTGAAGCATTTTGAAAATATCAGAACTCGATAAATGGCCATGCAACTTAACAGGCTTATTCTAGCAATCGGCTCTCCTTGTGTTTAAATTGTATGATAAGTTT